CACTTGGGATCATAAGACCGAGTCTCCGATCTTAAAGAATGTATTATCTAATAAAGTAAAATAAGATACATTAAAAAACAGAAAACAAAAACCTTTATCTCACGGGCAGAGGAGAGCTCAAATGCTAATGTGTGTGAAAGCATTTTGCGCACACAGTGTGTGGTAGGTGCGTTTCCGCCTACATTACAGCCTGATGCCTTCTTCAAAATAAGCCCCCTCCTGTCTGAGACACACAGAGCTGCAGACTCCAGAAGGCCAGCCTCGCCCCGGTGACGTGGGAGTGTGGGGAGCAGTGAAAGCTGAGGTCTCCGAAGTGCATACCCTAAACGACACTGTGGTGGGAACACTATTGTGGTTGGGTCATTGGTTCCGTGACCATTTTAAAATACAAACTTTTTAATGGTGACTTTGGCTGAGCAGAGGCCACCAGATTCTGAGAGGGCAGGTGAGACTCAGCAGTCAGGATAAGGCAGAGCTGGCTGAGGACAGGGCTGGGAGATGGGAAAAGAAAACAGGGACTAAAGTGGCCTGGTTATATGATTCTGTGATTTTTTTGTTGTTTCTTGTTCTTTATTATTGATTTATTTTTGAGATGTAGTTTCACTGTCATTGCCCAGGCTGGAGTACAATGGCATGATCTTGGCTCACTGCAACCTCCACCTCCCAGGTTCAAGCGATTCTCCTGCCTCAGCCTCCCAAGTAGCTGGGATCACAGGTGTGCACCACCACGCCCAGCTAATTTGTGTGTGTGTGTGTGTGTGTGTGTGTGTGTGTGTGTGTGTTTGGTAGAGACAGGGTTTCACCATTGTTGGTCAGAAGCAAAGTCAGTCATTGTTGGTCGAACTCCTGACCTCAAATGATTCACCTGCCTCAGCATCCCAAAGTGCTTGTTTCTTGTTCTTTAAAAGTACCCTTTTGTGGCTACTTAAGGCAAATATTCTTATCTTTTGATTTCAACCTAGAAAACTCTTCATAATGTCTATCATGCATTCAGCCCTTACTACATGTCAGGGGCAGGGTGCAATGGGCCTCATTAGCCTTCACAGCAACTCCCTGAGTCTGACCCCACAGGCCCCATTTACAGATGGGGCACAGAGACAGGCAGCAGTGACCAGCACAGAGGAATCAAACTCCTGACGCTCTTCCCGATCTGTGCGGTGGCTGGTGCCGCCCACAGCTCTCCCCACGTCCTTCCCAACCACCCTGACTGCAGCAAGCTTTGGGGAGGCCATATGTGCTCAGGGGGTATGTGAGATGGCAACACACGTGAAGCCAGCATGAGAATGTCGGAATTTCAGGGGAAAACCGCTTTTCGAAAAATAGCTCTTATTCTTTCATCAGGCAATATTCCTTTGCCTGTGGAGCCCAGAACATCCTCCTCCACTTGAAACTGTCCCTTTCTTGAGGATGTAGCCTGAGTGTCACTCCTGGGGGCCATGCTCTCCCTGATGCCCTCTGCCTCTGGCTGGAGGAAGCAACTAGTCTCCTCCCTGATCATGTCCCACATTGCATGCAATGTAAGTCATTCTCAGAGGCCTGCACTGCGTAGGGGGGCTGTGTTTTTGCCTTTCAACGTCCTTGAGGCATGACCTAGGCTGCCCTAGGTGAACCTGAGGGGCAACAAGAGATAGAGATTTGTGGAAGGGACAGCTCTGGACAGACCAAGAGCATTGGTGCCAGGTGTAGAACTCACTTTGGGAAACTGAGACCACTGGATGCAGTTCCGACACCCACAAGTCTCCAATGCACCCCAGGAGCCAATCAAAAACAGTGATTAGGACTGGGAAGCTCGAGGCCAGCTGTGACGCCTAGGCCCTTTGGTCAAATATAGACCCATCACCCATGAGTAAAGGAAAAGAGAAGCAAAGTCAGGATGAGAAAATCAGGACTTCTGAGGTGCAGTCAGAGGAGAAGATCCAGTTCTTACAGCGAGCCAACAGAGAATCCCCAAAGGCTGCCCCAGATCCGCAGCTCACCTCCCCACCAGAGCACAATATCAGGAATGCTTCCCACTTGTCTTGCTTCCTCTCACAGACACGAGGAAGTTGCATAGAAGGCCCTTCGAGGCGGTTCGGGACTGATTAGGAGAGGAGTGTGCTTCACCATCCGACTTGGTTTTTTTCTGAGTGATGCACAGCATGTTAATTCCCAAGCTAATCTTTGATTAACATCCAGGAAATTTGGGCCTTTTAATTAAAAGAAAGGGAAAGTCTAAAAAGAAAATAGGTCAATGGGCCTTTCCAAAAGGTGGTCCCCGTGAGGCTAAAGGCTTGCTTTGGAATTTTCAGGTTCCCCAGTGTTAATAGAATTTAGATCACATTGAGAATTTAGATCGCAGGAACAGAAAGCGCTGTCCTTTTTCACTGACCCAATTTGAGAAGTAAAAATTGATCAGCAGACCAGCTGGGCATTCAGACATAGACCACAGCATTTGCATGGACTGTTAAGAGTGTTATTCACAGCTTCTGGCAGAGGAGCTGGGTGCTTTCCTGCATCCAAGACAGCATGCTTGCAATGAAGGAACCCCTGCCTTCATCACCTGTGCATGAGAGAGACCTGTCATAGCCCCTGGGGTCGGGGTGAAGCCAGGTAGGGGAATGAACCAGGGCGGAGCGGGAGCGAGAACATCTGTCAACTCCGATTGCTTAGTAGCTCTGTGGAGGGAGGTAGCGACATGGAAACAGAAATTCCAGGGCCTCTCAACTGTATTCATCCTCTGGATTTCCTCCTTCCGTTGCTAATGAACTAGAAAACAAACAAACAAAAAAAGTGTGTTACTAAAATTTTAAAATTTAAAGTGTAATTAACATAGGATGCACACACAGTTCTTAGGTGTATAGTTCCATGGGTTTTGATGAACGTATAAAATCCATGCAAGCACCAGCCTGATCAAGCGCTACGACTTTTCCATGACCCTGGAATGTTCCCTCATGCCTCTTTTTGGCGAGATTCTCTCCAGAAGTGAGAGTGCTCTGTTCTGACTGCTCTCACCGTCACTTAGCCTTCCCTGCTCTGCAGCTCCATATGCATTAGATCCTACGGCATAGACTCTTTGGAAGCTGGCTTACACGGCTCACACCATTGTTTTGAGACTCATGCGTGGTATTGTGTGTATTCGTGGCTCCTTTTTTTTATCACTGGGTAATGAACATTCTACAGTTAGACCAGTTTGTTAACCTATTCATATTTTGATGGGCATGGAAAAAGAAAATTTGAAAGACTATAGAAAGGGGGAGAAAAAAACCCATATTTATAGTCAGAATTAATACATTCATTCCACGGATGTTTGTGAAATGTCAGTGCTCTGCTAGACACAGTGCCCATGCTTGGCACTGTGAGTGTAGCTGTGAAGGGAGCAGCCAGGCACTGGGGCTCATGCTCTTGGACCTAGTAGGAGTCGCAGATTGTGAACAAGTAAACAGATACATGGCTAAGATGACTTTAGATTGTGGTAAGTTCTCTGAAGGCAATTCTCTTATGGAAAATAAACCAAAGATTACATTTTTGGACAGATACTGTGGTATAGCAGTTTTTTAAAAAAATTAAAATTGCTATTAAGATCGTGACTATGATAAAATAAAAATTTGCATCAATCTGTGATCTTCTGCCTTAAACATCCTTATTAACCAGTGAGTCTGGGGTAAAGTGTGAAATCCTCATCTCACATTGACTCTTTCTTCCTTGCCGTATGTGTTCCTAGGTCTCTTTCCTCTTAGCCTATTACTTCTCGGTATTACAGACATATCTGTAATTGTTCAATGGAGATTTTGTTAAAAAAAAATAAAAATCCTGGTTCTAAGAAAGAAAACTAAGAATCATATGCTGTGGGATTTGAATTATTTCTTGCTAAAACAACAACCACCCTCTCTCTATGCAAGATTCTTAACACAAATATTTTCAAAGGAAGCTATTCTCTCCCTTCACCATGGGCTTTCTCTCTGTAGCTGGCATTGTTCAGACAGAGGAAGGAGGCACAGGGAAATACTTAAGCATTCTATAATAAAGTAGTTCATGGCACAATTAAAATGATGTACTAGAACAGTAACATGATATGCCGAATTTAAATAACTGAAGCTGATTAAGGAGGACGTCAGAATTAAATGCTTGGTGGAATTGACATAACAGATCCAAGATGGCCTCTCCATGTTTCAGCAGAGAGATGGTGGCAACCATTGATATTTTCCAGGCAAATTTGTTGATAGATAAAACATTTTTATAGACTTTCCATTATTCCTTGTAGCCATCAGCTTTTAATTTTCTCTTTCTAGTTAATATACTTGTGTATAATTTAAACAGAAAACTGTTCTGTTTCATCATAAAAGATTTGCCTGTTACTTTGGGTGTGTAAATCAAGTGGACAGCACAACATTCTTGAACTTGTTTTTTAAGGGATTTGTTGACAACAACAGAAAAGAAGATCACAGACGCCGCCAATAAGCGTGGACATCAATTATTTTTTAATTGTATAGGAGTACAGTACACTAATTAAAACTAGTATATCTTGCAATGCCAAAGGCAAAATTAATTATTAATTTTTATTAATATTCAGAAGTAGCACAAGGAATGCATTAATAAAGATTTGGTGGTTGTGACTGAGATCTTGTTTAGCTTTATATTTTAGGAAAAAAAAAAGGTTTTCTGGTTCAATCTGAGTAAAAAGAAGCTGGCACCGAAGGGATGATCTTTATTTAGATGGAACGTGCTCACTAGAGTGGGTATTTAGTGACAGGAGATGAGATGTGGAAGGAGATTATGTGAAAACCCCAAATGCTTGTCTATAACAGTTTGATTTGACAACTCTACATTCACCTGCAAAATTGTTGTTGTTACCTTAGATACTTTTGGTTATTAAATTGAGTATTTTAGTTAAGCCATCTTGAGTTGACATTTAATAATTCATTTAGGAGCCGTGCACAGAATATTATCCAGCTCACCAAATCCAAGATGAACAAAATTAGTTTTGTGCGCTAAAAAGATTTTGACAAGACCCTCTCCTCCTCTTCTCCCTCTCCCTTCTCAGCCTCTCCTCCTCTCTAGTTAGAAGCAAGTCTGCAAGGCTCTCTTATCCTACCTGGCAAAGACGGAAGCACATTCATAGTTTTTAGGCCAGCGTCTTTAAGCTTATCTCCATGCAGTCCTGAAACCATGTACGATGTAGATAGGTCATTAATCAGTGCTTGCTTTTCTGCAACTGATGGCTTCTCATTTTACACAGCCTCTGATTACAGACCTTTCATGTCCACTTCCTCGAGAAATATTTTTGCCTTTGTAAAGTCTGTACCAGTTAAAACCTTCAATGAAACCCAAAATGTCGACACAGCCATGTTGGGGGGCTGCCTGTGGACTTGTGGGTTGGTCAGCCACAAGCTCTGATATCCCGGAACACATGTCCATCCGCCTGGGTGGGTAGAACCATCAGACCCACATCCTCCTTCGCCTACCATGTGGGGAGTGCTATGCCTCGCACAGCTCAATCCTGCATGTTCGCGAATCTTCAGGGGTGAAAAGGAGAGGAACAGAGCATTCACAGCTACAATGAAGCTACAAGCAGTTGTAGGCAAAACTGTATGGTACAGCATATGCACAGTGCATGCCTTCCCTTCACACCTCGGAAGGCAGCAGGACTCCCCGGCAAGCGCCAGCTGTCACCATTCCCTTGGGAAGGCAGCTCTCTGAAGAATACTTCTTCCACCTGATGGTCCACCTTCCAGAATGCAGCTCCTGGGAAACAGCATCAGGCCAGTCTGGGAAGGCATGTGTTTCCTCGGATGTATTGGAACGTTTCCTCTGAAAAATAGGAGAAAAAGTGGATCTGATGTCATACTGGCAACCTCTGATGGGACTCACATGCCTGAGGGAAAAGGTGGCCGCACAGTCAGAATCAGGATTGACTCCAGATAAACGTGTGGCCATATTGGCTCATTTCATCCCATCAGAGTTTAGTGGGGGGTGAAGGAGGCTGGTTTCATCGAACCCTGGCATGTGATGCACCAGCTGCCTACAGGTGACATTAAAGATAGCCAGATGATCTCTGACTCCTAGGACTTTAAATGCTTAGCAACTCATATCAAGAGAAGTTACTTCTTGCTTTTTTTTTTTTTTTCATCCAAAATGACATAGATAAACATTGCAGTGTATGCCAGCCATTAGTGAGACATGATGACGAGTTTGTTTACAAAAATGGGATTTCATTCATTCGTTTTTTTATGAGCACCTACACTATTCTGGGAGTTTTGCTAAGCCTGGGGGATTCCAAAATAAATATAAAAGGTAAGTGTTTGAGTTAGCTCTTGCTGCATAACAGACAGCTCCAAAACTCATGAATGCAATCCTGCATTACCACCTGTGTGTCTATGAGTTGGCTGGGGTTTGGATGATCTAGAATGGGCTTGACTAAGCTGCTCTGCATCTGGGATTGCTAGGGTGTCTACCATGTCTCTTTCCACCTCTCCCTCGCTCTTTTTGGACCAGAGAGCTAACTGGGGCTTGTTCTCCCCGTGGTGATACCGGAGGCACAAGAGGGTCTACTGAAACCCAAGGGCTTCTAAAGGCCTCATCTCAAAATTGGCACCCTGCTGTGTTCATCTACACTCCACTGGCTAAACGTAAAACATACAGCCAACCTCAGAGCCCAGAGTCAGGGAAGCATATGCCACCTGCAATGAGGCCATGACAAGGGTGTGGATGCAGGAAGGTGTGATGGAGGTCAACGATGATTCCTATTCTTCATTCTGCTGGTGGGCATAGGAATGATGTTTTGGTACATTAAGGCCGCTATAACCAAATACTATAGACTGGGTGGTGCATACATGACTGGTATTTATTTCTCACAGTTCTGGAGGCTGGGAAGTCCAAGGCCAAGATGCTGGCGGATTCCACGTCTGGTAAATCAGCTTTCTGGTTCCTAGATGATGACTTCTCGCTGTGTTCTCACATGGTGGAAGAGGCAAGAGATCTCTCTTGGGCCTCTTTAATAAGACCACTAATCCCATGCATAAGGGCTCCACCTCCATGACTTAAGGCCATCACCTTCGGGTGAATTTCAGTATAGGAATTTGGGAAAAACACAGACATCCAGAGAATAGCCAATGGTGACTTCTGCCCTGAAAGTATTGAGGAAAAAATTCCCACTCCATTCCCTCATTCCGAAAGGACAGCTGCTGGAGAGGGTGAGAAGAATCTGATGTTTATGGGTGGCTTAAGCTGTGAAAGATTTGCTATTCCCTGTGGTCTTCCTCAATTTTTCCTTTAGGGACCACAGGGGAAAGATGCTCTTGGCTTCTGCTTCTGTGTGGCAGATATCCCTCCTCATGGCAAGTCCAGGGCCTAGTTTTGTCTCTGCTTTCAGAAAACAGTGGGCACACAGTCCCCTGGACTCTGTCCATGGCCTGAGACTAGACAGAGGAAGACAGGGGGCCTTGGACACTCTGCAGATCCATTCCAGCTCTGCAAACAACCATGCTGATATTTTAATTCATCCTTGACCCTTGGATCTACTTCTTATTTGTTTGAGGACTCAGAGGGGAAGTCCTCTGATTAGCATCTTAGAAGTTCCCAAAATGACACACGGATTCTGTCCTTGCAGAGATCCCAGGGTGATACAGGGCCTGTCTGGGGATGATACGGGGCCAGGGCCTTGACATCCCTACACACGGAGGCATCCCCTTTGCTGAGGTTAACTAGACATAGACTCTCCCTCCTCTCCCCACCTCAAACATGCCCCAATTAATGTCCCCATTGATCTAGTGGAGTGAATCTTCAGCTTCACAATATACTGTGGAAGACAGGTGGTGCTTACATGAGAAAGGGAACAGCAGAGAATTAACACATGATCCAAGCAACTGGATCAATGGAGACATCCTAATTTGATAAATCAGGCCCAGTTTTGTTGTGTTATCAATCTTCACCTATGTAGTTTGTCCACCAGGTGGTAACCCAAGACATTGCCGTGCCTCCAGTCCTACTGCTGGTGCCCCAGCTCTTCTCTGCACCAGCTCTCATCCTTTCCACTCCTCTGTCCACTCACTTGCAACATGGTGAATACAGGACCACCTCTTCAGATGACTGAACCTCCATGAGATCCAGCGCATGGGAAGCTCTCGGCACAGTGCAGGGTACACAGGAAGTACAGATGGGCCACGAGTTTCATCACTGACCTAGTGCACACACTCTCTGAGGTAGAGGCTGGCAGAGACTCAAGTTGCATCCTCCCCCAAACAGATGTGGACCCTGTTAATCGTGGTCTTTCATCTTTGCTTACAGTTATGTGACACGGCTTCTCTAAGCAGATTTAGGGAGAGATTTGTTTTCATAAATCATGTTTATATGTTACTGAAGCTTTGTTTACTCATTTAGGAGCAAGCTAAGGGCACTGAGGTACATGTCTGTGGGGATGGACGGGTGGAGGAGGGAAGCGTTTGGAGGAGTTCTTTGCTACACACATAAAGGTAGGAACTGACCCAAGAATCTGGCCTCAAAGTTAGATGTCGGGCGATTTCATTGTTGGACAGACTGAGGGACAGTCTCAAAGTGGAGCTGGGTAAGGCTTCTTCTCCCAGATCCTAAAATTGTGCAAGTCTATGAGAATCCCTTTTTGATTACATCATGGACTTCTGGCAGAAATATTTCTGGTACCTAACCTTAAACCAGAGGATGTTGCATTGGCAGTGGCAGCGCTGAAAGCATGAAGCCTCAGAAGTGGGACAGCTGTTGGAAATCAGATGTTGCCTAAGAGTTTATTATGCTTCCTCTACACTGCTCACCCTCGCCAAAAGCTAGGAGAGATCCTTTCACCAACAGGGACGCATTTCCTCTCCAGGGTTTCCTGTGCCACCTGTAGGGCCAAGAGATTCCCTGGATATTCAGAATATGCAGAAACTCCTCTGACAAGCACAAGCAGCTTTGCTTAAGCAAAGCATGTGAAGGTGTCCAAGGTGGCTTGGATAAACTTTACAGTCACAGAGAAAGCTCTGAGCCTTCTTCTGGCCTGTGGGCATTAAACTGAACCACAGAAATGTATATATATGTTTTGGAATGGTTATACTATTCTGCTTTATTTATTTATTTATTTATTTTTGTACTTTAGGTTCTGGGGTACATGTGCAGATCATGCAGGATTGTTGCATACGTACCTACATGGCAATGTGGTTTGCTGCCTCCATCCCCCATTGCCTGTATCTGGCATTTCTCCCCGTGTTATTCCTCCCCAGCTTCCCCATCCCCTGCTGACCCTCCCCTGGCCCTCCTGACAACAGACCCCAGTGTGTGATGCTCCTCTCCCTGTGTCCATGTGTTCTCATTGTTCAACACCCACCTATGAGTAAGAACATGCAGTGTTTGATTTTCTGTTCTTGTGTCAGTTTGCTGAGAATGATGGTTTCCAGATTCATCCAGGTCCCTACAAAGGACACAGACTCATTGTTTTTTATGGCTGCATAGTATTCCATGGTGTAAATGTGCCACATTTTCCTTGTCCATTCTATCATCCATGGCATTTGGGTTGATTCCAGGTCTCTGCTATTGTAAACAGTGCCACAGTGAACATACGTGTGCACGTGTCTTTATAATAGAACAATTTATAATCCTTTAGGTATATACCCAGTAATGGGATTGCTGGGTCAAATGGGATTTCTATTCCTAGGTCCTTGAGGAGGTGCCACTCTGTCTTCCACAATGGTTGAACTGATTTACACTCCCACCAACAGTGTGAAAGTGTTCCTATTTCTCCACATCCTCTCCAGCATCTGTTGTCTCCAGATTTTTTAATGACTGCCATTCTAACTGGCGTGAGATGGTAAATAAACTAGATATTGAAGGAACGTATCTCAAAATAATAAAAGCTATTTACGACAAACCTACAGCCAATATCATCCTGAATGGGCAAAAACTGGAAGCATTCCCTTTGAAACCTGGCACTAGACAAGGATGCCCTCTCTCACCACTCCTATTCGATATAGTACTGGAAGTTCTAGCCAGAGCAATTAGGCAAGAAAAAAAAAATAAAGGGTATTCAATTAGGAAGGGAGGAAGTCAAATTGTCTCTATTTGCAGATGACATGATTGTGTATTTAGAAGACCTATCATCTCAGCCCAAAATCTCCTGAAACTGATAAGCAACTTCAGCAAAGTCTCAGGATACAAAATCAATGTGTGGAAATCACAAGCATTCCTATGCACCAATAACAGACTAACAGAGAGCCAAATCATGAGCGAATTCCCATTCACAATTGCTACAAAGAGAACAGAATACCTAAGAATACAACTAACAAAGGATGTAAAGGACCTCTTCAAGAACTACAAACCACTGCTCAATGAAATAAGAGAGGACACAAACAGGTGGAAAAACAGTCCATGCTCAGGGTTAAGAAGAATCAATATTGTAAAAATGGCCATACTGCCCAAAGTAATTTATAGATTCAATGCTATCCTCATCGAGCTACCAATCAGCTTCTTCACAGAACTGGAAAAAAAACCCTTAAACTTCATATGGAACCAAAAGAGAGCCCACATAGCCAAGACTTTCCTAAGCAAAAAGAATAAAGCCAGAGGCATCACACTACAAGACTTCAAACTATATTACAAGGCTACAGTAATCAAAACTGCATGGTACTGATACCAAAACAGAGATATAGACCAATGGAACAGAACAGAGGCCTCAGAGGCAACACCACACATCTACAACCATCTGATCTTTGACAAACTTGACAAAAACAAGCAATGGGGAAAGGATTCCCTGTTTAATAAATGGTGTTTTGGAGACTGGCTAGCCATGTGCAGAAAGCAGAAACTGGACCCCTTCCTGACACCTTACACTAAAATTAACTCGAGATGGATTAAAGACTTAAACATAAGACCTAACACCATAAAAACCCTAGAAGAAAATCTAGACAAAACCATTCAGGACATAGGCGTAGGCAAGGACTTCATGACTAAAACACCAAAAGCATTTGCAACAAAAGCCAAAATAGACAAATGGGACCTAATTAAACGCCAGAGCTCCTGTACAGCAAATGAGACAATCATTACAGTGAACCAGCAACCAACAGAATGAGAAAAAATTTTGCACTTTACTCATCTGACAAAGGACTTATATCCAAAATCTACAAATAACTAAAACAGATTTACAAGAAAAAAACAAATCCATTCAAAAGTGGGCAAAGGACATGAATAGACACTTTTCAAAAGAAGACATATATGAGGCCAAACATCTGAAAAAACACTCATCATCACTGGCTATTCTACTTTAGATATGTACTCACATGCAGAAAAGAAATTCCTATATATTTTTTTAAAATCAAAACCCAGTTTACTTGTCACTTTCTTTTTAAAGCTTCCCTGACCACTGCAGTGGTCACTTCCACATGAATTTCAACTCTATTCTCCATTCATACCTCTCTGGCATCACCAGCTTACGATTGTAGTGATGTCATCTGACTCCTGGCTGGAGACCCATGAAGACCCTAAGACAGCATATATGTCTTCTTCTTTATGTACCTCCAGTGCCCAACAAAGCCACTGGTTCTGAGACAGTTTCAGAGAAGGTGGGGTTGATGTGAAAGAACACATCCAGCATGGGTCTAATTATTGGAACAAGTAATTGGATTGGATTAACCACAAACACGTTAACCATCTGATGAGAGTGAGTTGACTAATCTTACAGTCTTATGTATGATTGAGAGTAGATTCCAAATAAGGGGTGAGAGAAGCATCTCTGCTATTTGTAGGGACATAAGAGGGGTCTTGTTTATTAATTCAACAGGTAATCGTTGGTCCTCTACCATGTGCAAGTCCCTGTCATAGGCACCAGTGATAGGTTTATCACTAGTACTAGTATAACTGTTATGGTAGGTAGCTAGTCAGACAGGGACAGGGCAGAAGGCCCCCCCTGCCCCCTTACTGTCTCCCTTACCAATCAGGAATGTCAGGCAACCATCAAGTGATGGTGAGGTAATTATTAAACTATCTCTCTAAAATAATAATATAAAACTCTCTCTCTAAAATAATATTTCTCTAAAATAACTATCTCTCTAAAATAATAATTAAACTATCTCTCTAAAATAATAATGTGTCACAGCCAATGAAACACCTATAATTGCTGATCAGCAGCTTCCCAGTGAGATCACAGGAGTTGGGTAAGCAGGCTCAAGCATGGCCACAAAGAGGCAAAATGGCAGAGTGTAACTGGTATAACATTTGGACTGGTAAAGGAAGAATGCCTCACGTGAGCATACATACATCTCCAGTAAACATGCTGTGCATCAACAACTCCAGTAAACACACTGCCAGAAATGGCTAATAAGTGAGCAATCATGAAATAGGTTTTCAATTTTTTAGATAGGGTAACTTTAAAAAGGTAGAGATATAGATGGTAGTGCAGTTCAAAGTATCTGCAGAATTAAAATGTCTGAGCACAATAGCACAAAGGATGGGAGGTTGGAAAGGTGCTTATGTTAAATTTGAAGTAACATAATAGTATTTCAAAGTAGCCTTTAAAGAAGTAAAGATACACATGGCAAGCCATAAGCAATTGCTGAAAAACGGAACAAAAATGTATACCTCATAAGCGTAAGGTAAAAATCAAATGGAATACTAAAAAGTACTCGGTTGTTTCAAAAGAAGCCAACAACAGATGAGAGAAATAGAAAACAAATAGTGAAATGGTAGACTTAAATCCTACCATATTAATAATTATATTAAATATAATAGCCTAACATACCCGTTAAGAGCTACAGATGATCAGACTTGATGAAGAAACAAGACCAAATACATGCTTCATGTTTCCATGTGGAAATTCCTTCTCCATTTTGGGAAATTTTTATATTGCAGTTAAGAAATTGGGAAAACAAGAAAAGTATAAATCTTGGGTGCAAATTCAAGCTTAACAATAAAGATAAAGATATTCCTTTTCATTACTTTTAATGGCAAAAACCGCAATTACTTTTGCACCAACCTAATAGTTTTAAGGAATTCACTGATGTCAACTCAAAAGTATGAACAGGAACTACTGATGTGCAGAGTCTAAGGTTAAAATAAACATTTACAGAAACCAGGGAAGGCAGGCCGGAGAAGAGTAGCCATAACTCCTCAGTTAGTCTCAGTCGTAGCTGTTGCCAGGCTGTAAACACGTTTGTGGAATACTCTCCAATAAGATTAGAAACGGATATAAAACTTGCATTGCAAAAAGAATATCAATCTCATTGGCAAAAATCAAAATCGAGGCAAGCAAGCAAAATATTTTTATTGTTAAAAAAGGATATAATCTGATATGAAGAAACATGTGCCCTAAAGCCCAATTTGCAAATGCTTTCGAATACACCCTTGGTCATTCAATCAACATCAATGCAAAAATAAATGAAAACTTTCCACATGTGTAAGGTTTGCCAGGAAAAAAGAGAAGGGACTAGTGTATAGGACAATTAAAGCTTTATGTGTTTCAATGTTTTAATGCTACCTTTTAGGGTATTATATTTCATGGTATTATTTTTCAAAATTTTAAGTGATTTTTGCGTGGCATTTATTTTGTGCTAATATTCTCCTTTGAAATATTTTTTATTTTCTAATGTCTATGTCAGGTAGAGATTACTTTTATGTTACTGAAAAAAATCTATTTACAAATGTGGACTTTAGCAAAAAAGTGTTATGAAAAATACAGACTCATATAATTTAAGGAATTCCCCAGATTTCTTTAGAATTCTATTTTTTGTTTCTGAATATCAAAGATTAATAGATATCTACAGAAAACTTACTTTAAAAATAAACACACAAATGGTTTAAAAGAAAATGATAGGAGGAAGTATGCCATGCAGAAACTAATTATGAGACTAGCATTACTATATTAATACCAGACAAAGCAGACTTCAGTACAATAACTATTATCAGAGATAAAAAAGACATTTTATAAGGACACAATGCTCAAATATCAATATCAATATGTTATATAATGTATATATGTGCATATAACACACTTAAAGATGCATGCACCAAAAAATTCCTCAAAATACATAAAGCAAACATGGTAGGATTAAAAGGGAAAAGAGACAAATACAAACTATAGTTGAAAATTTCAATACTTCTGTTAGTAATTAATGGAAGAAAGGTAAAATCTATAAGGATTCAGAAATCCTGGATAAAAATATCAATCCAGTGGGACTTAATTGACTTGACATTGTTTGAACACTTCACCACTTCACCCAACAGCAGCAAAATGCTTCTCTTTTCAATGGCACATGGAACATTTGCCAAGATAAACAACATTCTAATCCATTTAAAAAAAGTTTGCATACATTTAAAAAGGTTGAAATCACACAGGATATAGTTCCAGTATAATAAGAATCAGTAATAAATAAAGAGATTTAACAATCTCCAAATATTTGGAGAAATTATTTCTGGGAATCTCACGGATCATAAAAGAAGCCACAAGAGAAAATCCAAAACAGTTTTAACTAAATGAATATGAAACACAACATACATATTCATCAGATGCAGCTAAAGCAATTCTTTAGAGGAAAATGTATAGCTTTAAATGATTACATTAGGAAAAAAAGGTCTAAAATAAAAGATATAAGCTTATACCTTAAGAAACTAGAAAATTCAGGAAAATTAAATCCAAATAAGTAGAAAAAATAATAATAAGCAGAATTAATAAAATATCAATATACAAACTATGGAAAAAGTTAATGAAACTAAAGTTGTTTGACTAGATTAGAAAAATCAACAAACTTCTAGATAGACTGATCAAAATAAAAGAGAAGACTCAGATGGAGATTAACAGTGATAAAAGAGGGTATAGCCTCTCTTTAATGTTGATCTCCTATCAACATTTAAAAGATAATAAAGGAACGGTGTGAGCAAGTTAGTATAAATAATTTCAACAAGTTAGAAATAATAAAAGACATCAAAAGGCATACATTGCCAAAAACACAAGAATAGATACAAAATTTAAATAGCCCTATATATTATCATCAACAACAAAGTAATTAAACAAGTTATCGCAATGAAAACTACAAATCCAGATGGATTCCTTGGTGAATAAACCAAACATTTAAATAAGTATTTTTGCATCTTTCATGAGAGTTGAATTCCAAAGTCTGCATAGATTCTTAGCTCCAAGCATCAGAAATAAAGTCAGACTAATTTAGGATTTAAAAAAAAAAAAAAAGGACTAAAAAGGTTTTGAGTAACCTTTCTATCCAGAAGGATTGTAGAGCCAGGTTTGGTAACTGCGGACTGAGAAGGACGCTCCACTTACCTCAAGAGAGGTGCCACAGTCACACGACTGAGTCCAGACGCCACAGCCTATGCTGCCAACACCACAGACACCATACTCCTGTCACTGGTGTTGTCATTATGCTATTGGTGCCTCAGGAAGTAAAGTGTGGACTGTTTTGCTACCACCACACTCTGCAGAATGAATTTCTTGAAGTCTCCACTTTATTGGTTCCTTACGGTTCAATTCAAAGACTCATGTCCCTATTCCCTCTTTGCAAGAAAAGATAGAAAAAATATTTGTTGATCTCTATAAAGGCAGGCAGACTTTGCCTCATAAAGAAGTGTGATCTGATGCTGGGACAATTATAATAGCACATGCCTAATAATGCGTGTAAGTTAAAAATGAAATCGCATCTGATCAAAAATTGCCCTAAAAATTATTAAATCATCCAGTTTTCTGTCCATATACAGGTATGTCAGTTTTCAATAAATCCAACAGGTCCACTTTTTCTACAGAGGGAATAAATTGTTGCTACTTCCATTGAGCCGCAGATGATTTAGCTGACTTGCACTGAGGTCATATAATAGGAAATCTATGTGTGTATGTTTGTTTATTTTAAAGCCCTACGCTCTCACAAGGGTGGTAAGATGCTCACACCACCATCGACTGAGAGAATGACAAATAGTACCAGTCACTCCACTTAAAATATTATTTTTATTTTTCCTCTTCTTTCTCCTCTCCCACCACTACCCAGACCCCCCTCCTGCTCTCTCTCCTCCTCCCAAAGAAATAGCATCAGTTTGTTGCTTATATGATGGGACTCAGCTGTTTCTCTGTAGCTTCCTGACAGCTGGGGCAGAGATTTTATCAACACTTCCTTACATCACTCTTTTGCAACAGTTCCTAAAAGTTCAGAAAAAAAAAAGTTGACCTTTTCCTTTTATAGATGGTCAAGCTGAGGCCCAAAGAAAAGTGAACCTTGCAGAAAGAACAGCGCAGGGCTGTGGCTGTCAATACTGGAACCCAGGCTGCCTCTTAATGTATCTTCCTGTCTACATTTTCTTGCTTTCAGGAGTCCAGACTTTCAGACAAGAAGCTGGACTCTCTTGGCATTAAGAGTTCGACAAAGCCATTGTTCTGAATCTGTTCTCTGCCTCCCAGCCCTGTGATAAGAATATCCTAGAAACTGGATTTTTTCTATAAAAAACATTTCCCCATGTGGACTGTGTACATTCTGCCTCAAATTCTCTTTGGCAGTTTCACAGTTTAAAAATACTTGAGGATCTCTTTAACTTCGTTTCTCCTCCTCATTGTAAAACTTCACTTTTCACTTGTGTTTCCTCCGGGAACACCCTCCACCCGGCTGGAGCAACACAACGCTCTCTTCCCCTTTCTCGTAGCTCCTGATTTCCTCCACGATCCACTTCCCTTGGCAACATCTTTTCAAACCCCATGCTTGGATTCATTCTCTTCAAATCGAATCCAAAGTGTGAAGACAGAATGTAAACCTTTGTCTACGTGCTTTTTTGCAAGCCCCTAATTAGATTCAAATATGAAAACATCTATCCAAAGCATCTGGGAAATCATCCCTGATTCCCTAAAAAATAGATACATCAGCTGGACCACAGCTCAAGGAGAGCTACTGCAGGTTAGATGTGGAAAAAAAAAAGCCATGTGAAATAATCTGAGGGTAATCTAAATAATGGTTAGGAATTTCTGACACTACTATGATTTTTCCCCCTGGGACTCAGGTGCAGAATTGAATTCATTGTAATTGAATTCATAGAAATCTTCAATTTATGGCACATTGTCATCATTGACCTATGCAAGATGCCATGGTTTTGCTTATTTATTTATGTATTTATTTATTTGAGACAGAGTCTCACTCTGTCACCCAGGCTGGAGTACAGTGACATGATCTTGGCTCTCTGCAACCTCC